CCCATTGTTCAATGAAGGTCAACTTAATGACAGATCACGGCGGGAGCTGAAAGGTCAGAGGCATGTCAGGCGTTCCTCCACGAGGGACAAGTGTGGTCCAGCTGCAACAAGACCAGTAAATCAGAACCTGATAACAAATGTTTGTAGATGCTTGTGTCGCTGTCCTCTGTTGACCGAATGATGTGATTCAAATAAGGCTCCTCACAACTCGTTGACCCCCTATAGACGAGTTCTTTTGAGGTATATGTGGGGAGCAGTTTGCAGACATCAATTCCTATCAGGTGCCCAGTTGTAACAGTGTCCTGTGCCAAGTGGATGATTTACATGTAGACATTAGAACTTGTTTAATTTATGACGTTGTATCCGTCTTAGCGATAACTTTATTAAATGGCCATACCTTAAATATGTGATAACCGAAATAGGCTGACGGGGCACTATTCTAACAGAGGTGGGTTAGCTACTGGTTTGGTGTTTCGGGGAAAGACAGAAAAGCTAGGTTCAATTCCCCCAATGTCACATCGCTGCAATTATGTCCAAGCCGCGATAGTCGATACTCTTCCATTTTTGAGGGATGGTAAATGAATGTATCGTGGTCGAGTTTTTCCAGCATACCATGGCTTAGCTTCATGTGTGTTCTATAGACGTTTATTGCTTTGATGAAATACTCATCCAGGTTATTGGTGCAGACAAACCAGGGATCATAATCAGGGCGCCTCTAGGACGTCCAGAGATACCACTATAACGTATTGTGGCGCTAACTGACGTCTCCGGGACGACTCGGGGACACAAACCAGGGATCATTATCAGGGCGCCTCTAGGACGTCCAGAGATACCCCTATAACGTATTGTGGCGCTAACCGACGTCTCCGGGACGACTCGGGGACACAAACCAGGGATCATTATCAGGGCGCCTCTAGGACGTCCAGAGATACCACTATAACGTATTGTGGCGCTAACTGACGTCCCTGGGACGAAACCAGGGATCATTATCAGGGCACCTCTAGGACGTCCAGAGATACCACTATAACGTATTGTGGCGCTAACTGACGTCTCCGGGACGACTCGGGGACACAAACCAGGGATCATTATCAGGGCACTTCTAGGACGTCCAGAGATACCACTATAACGTGTTGTGGCGCTAACTGACGTCGCCGGGACGACTCGGGGACACAAACCAGGGATCATTATCAGGGCACTTCTAGGACGTCCAGAGATACCACTATAACGTGTTGTGGCGCTAACCGACGTCTCCGGGACGACTCGGGGACACAAACCAGGGATCATAATCAGGGCGCCTCTAGGACGTCCAGAGATACCAATATAACGTGTTGTGGCGCTAACCGACGTCTCCGGGACGCCCGGGGACACGTAAGCCCATAGCCTTGAGGTTTGCCTGTTCCTCCTAAATATGCTGTTTCAAGCTCCGGAATGAGTTCACGGAATAGGACAAGTGAATTAAATAAACACGTTCCCAAACCTGATTCAATGACAACCTGTTAAGGCCTAAACAGACATCGTCTTCAGTGATGACAATACTGATGTAGTTTCCACACGTGTGGTCAAGATAGTGTTTTTCTGAGGGCGATGTGCAATCTCCCATATCTCCCCCAATATATGTATACACATCTATTGTTTAATAGTGTATCGTGGCTCTTGTGAGAGAGTGCGTTGGTTGGTGGGTGCGTGCGTGCGTCCGTACACGTGCAGTATTATGCCTGAGGTAAGGCTCAAACTGCCTGTCTGCCACGTGAGCGTGTGGAAACTGTCGCGTTAACCAGGTACTGCTTTATATAACACACATACCTGTGTACGCCGGAGGCTACCCGCCTACCAATAACTGTGCTTACCCTTTGTATAATACAGTGTTATTACTCTTTAGAACCATTCTCCCGCACAACACGGGTAAAGGTTTCAGATTTTTGTAACGTAAGGGGTTGTTGTTTGAAAGGTTCGATTGTTTACACGAGACACTATAAAAGCTGTGTCAGCAAGATCCAGGGTAGATTGACATTTTCAGCATTCAGATCTTACATAACTCATTTATAATGTATTGGCTCCCGGACAGCTATGATAAATCTCTCTCTCTCTCTCTCTCTCTCTCTCTCTCTCTCTCTCTCTCTCTCTCTCTCTCTGTGTGTGTGTGTGAAGTCAAGCCTTGCATTTATTGAGGGAGCCGTATACGTCCCCTATTTTGACCTTTAGCCTCTTTTCAGATTTGCCCCATTATATAACGTTACATAGCCCCTGTGTACCTCCTGGGCAACTCAAACACGGAAAGATAAATACAGTGTTTTCCTTGGCCTACACTGTACGACCTTATATTATATACATACTGTATGACCTTACATTGTATACGGTAGTATCTCACAATATTTACTGTATAATTACACATAACATACAGTTTCATTTTATATTAAAGTTTATACTGCATTACTTTGAATTGTCTGCGGTTGTATCTCACATTTAATAACGAGTGCACGTGGTCTAACATAACATACTACACGATCTTTGTATATTGTATCTGATCACAAGCTGCATACTTCAGATGATCCTACACCGTATACATCTATGACACAGTAAAGCTGAATCACTGACAATACCCTATCCAGTATCCAACGATGTCACAATATCACATACTCCTGAAGTATGCTCAAGGATAAAGTTAACGTCGACTTGATGTTGTACATAGGGATGGGGCGAGGGAAACGGGGATATGAAATATACTGACGAACAAAAGAAAGTATACCGAGTTTGTTTGGGGGGTAATTGAAAATTGAAAAAAAACCTGTTGTTAAATTTGACGATGCCTGTTTTAAACACAACTCATTCGTGCAACAGGTATGAAAAGCAATCTATGGCTGGGTAGTTGTATGCTTGAATGGCTCAGTGGAGACTTGGGTAAGAATGAAGTTTCAACCACATGAACCCTACCACGTTTGAAACGACTGACAGAGGCAAATATATTGATTTTCACAGATTCTAACACACTCCCAGTTGTCTATCATGCGAATTTTGTATGAATCTTTGAAAATAATTTTTAAGTCGAAGTCTATAGTTTTAAAAGAAAATCACGTGGAAGAAGTATTTGAATGTTGACTAAGAATCGGTACAATTTTTTTGTATATGATATCGGTAATTTTGATAAAATCAACTGAGAGGTTTGGTTCCTTTCCTCAGGTTGTATCGGGGAGTTTCTGTTCGTACCTCAGGCAGATTGTGAGATAATGCAAGATGCTAGCAAAAGTACAAATCATGCCTAATCACTATGTCAATTCCGTGTGAGAAGAGTGAGCTCCCCTATCTACAATGGACTGACTGAGTTAGGTAAGTTTGGTTTTACGCCGCTTTTAGCAATATTCCAGCAATATCACGGCGGTGGACACCAGAAAAGGGCTTCACACATTGTGCCCATGTGGGGATTCGAACCCGGGTCTTCGGCGTGACGAGCCAACGCTTTAACCATTAGGCTACCCCACCGCCCCTATCTACAATGGAAGCAGGTAAGGGTAGCCAACTGGGGATCGAGTGGTCAGTTTCGGGGACTGGCTCGGTGTGTGGGTCGCTGTTCAAACTTCCTAGCACTCAAGTCTCGACTACTTTTTACCCGTGAAGATCCGGGTTAGAATCGGTCTTCAGAAACCTATGCTTTTCGTAAGAAGTGATTAACGGGATCGGGTGGTCAAACTCGCTGACTTGGTGGACACATGTCATCGTATCCCAACTGCGTAGATCGATGCTCATGCTGCTGATCACTGGATTGTTTGGTCTTGACTCAATTATTTACAGACCGCCGCCATATACCTGGATTATTGCTGAGTGAGGCATAAAACTAAACTCACTCACTCAATATGTAAAAATATGCATGAAAAAAAAAATGCTTCCACTGAATACAGGTGAATGGGAGGACCAGACTCTGCCATGTGGGCAGACATCTGACCTCTAATCCCTGTCACGTCTGTTTCTATAGTAAATGAGCCAGTCGCCCTCTGCCACCCCCGACATAACATACAGGCCATTAAAGATATCAAGCTTAAACATTGTGAAAGGCTGCTCCAGTTAATATGAATGTCTTTAGTAATATACCCAGCCTGTTCCAACAGTGTATTGGATACGGCCCCATGGAGCATCCATTGAATATACTACCGTGACAACGCAAACTAATATGCTTCGTTTTTATTTAATAAATGTATACCGGCGTCCCATCTGTTGCGGCCGTACACATCTCCTTATTGTTTGTGCTCTATAATACATTGCCACCTGTTTTCATCTAAAACAGGTAATAGAAAATAGCGAGCGCGACTGGAATTAAATTAAAATGTGCAATGTTAATAGCGATACTTGATTTTGTAAACCCGTGGTACAAATGTTGCCAACATTAAGCAAGGTTGGCATAAATGTCGATATGAAAATGACAGAAGTCAGGGTTCAAATTGTAAGAAACAGGTCACGTTCACAAAAAGCATTATGCCCCTGGAGATTGTGAACAGTAAACGTTTAAGACATGATAAATAGGCAGTGAAATGACAGCGTTGAGTGAGATTAGTTATATTCCTGGTAAACTGAGCACGTTTGTTTTACACGTGTCTGAACTGACATGCATGATCTGCAGTTTTATCTTGGAGACACTTCGTATCACTTGATACGTATCACATTCAGCTACAGATATGAAGATAACCGGCACTCTTGCAAGCTTAGTCATCAGAAGTACTTAACTGATAGCTATAATGTGACTGAAATGTACACCTACACAGAGAAGGGTACACTGTGAAATCTACACGGAAACTTTATATACACGTGCTGCAATGTGCACCTTGGTGATCAATAACGCAGTTTCAATGTTATGCAGCAAACGTATTAACTATATATTACAGCAACCCACCACTTTGATATTTAACTTTAGCATTTGCGGGTTTTAATTTTTTTAGATTTTTTAATTATAAAATATAACACAGCAGTAGTTTTAAGTGATACAAAAATAGAAAAGTAACGGTATTACTTACGATCGAATAATCTTGATCTTTTCTATTCTTCCAGGGCTGCGCCTATTTCTCAACAAGCTTCGTAGCAAAAGATGGTCACTTTGACTGCTGTTCCCCTTGGTAACTACTATAACTGTTCCGGGTTCTGTCTTTGATGTTATAACCTGGGGTGACTCGGCTTCTTCCACGTCTGGCTCTTGCTCTTCCTCTTCACTCTTAGGTTCTTCCTCCTGCACCCTGTCGTCCGTGATCACCATGGCGACCAACCGACAGCCTCCGTTAGCCCTTTACACGCCACTTATGCACTGTCCGAAGGCCGGGCGACAAACGTACAGTGATGGACAGAGGAATATGTATAAGGCTATATCACCGCCTATTCCGGAGGGTCAGCCAAGGCTAAAATAGTGAGTGGCCACAGGGTACTGCTATAAAAACAGTCAGTAACGCATCCAGTTGTATGAACACAGGGGGTTTTATCCAACCCAGAATCCAATGTAGATATTCCGTACAGTGTGAGGCGTGCGACAGGGTTGTACTATCTGTCCGCGGTTTATAATAGTACTGGTACAGCTTGTTCGCCCGCAGAGCTGAGATCGGGTTGTGGGAGGGTAACAACTGGGACGTACCCCCCTCGCTGTCAACCGGTCAACTGTAAAATATCATGGGATAGGGAAGCTTTAACGACGCAGGTTGTCTCTGTGAATGCAAACAAGTGATTTCATAAGCACTGTTCAGCTGAACCACGCGTATCAACGCCGGGTTAGGTAACGCCCCCTTTCGGTATTGAGATCTACAACCGATACGCCGGCAACACTATCAGTCAGACATCATGCTTGTTCAGAGATATTTAACTTTCTATGTTTCATACAACACACAGTGCGTTTAAATTTAACAAAAACAAAATATACGTCATCCACCGAAATATCAAAATCTCTCGGTCCGCGGTGTAGAGGTGGTTGGATTTCCTCGTGTAAATGTCACATATACATATATGTATATATGTCGGCCACATCTGCTTGTGCTTTTGACAGGTAATGAAATTACTGTTCTGTCTGAATGGTTAATATCATTCACAAAACAGCTCAGATGAAGTTTGTTATATCCCTCGGATATATATTCCTGAAGAGTTGTCATAGCAACACAGCCGTGTTAATATTTGTATCACTGGAGAGCGTAATGGTTGACAGCTGACAGAGTGTTATGACCCTTATTGAAGGTAAAGCTGACATCTAACTGTACAGTTCCTCATAGGTTACAGAACATCTGTAACTCGTGTTTTTACATGAATTTGCGAGAGTCGTTGGGGTTAACATAAGTTCGTTGAACAAACCCAAACTGACATGCATGTTTTTGGTGTCATTTAATCTGATTGAAATATAAATCGGTATATATATCTTATAATACCATTTTCAAATGGTAGTGGATTATTTTTCAGTACAACGCTTCTAATGTAAAAGAATCCATGTTAATCATGTACGTAATGATAAATACATACCGTCATGGTTGTCTGTGTGGAATACACATCCCTCATATTCTAACTGGCTAGTATACTGACAGGTGACACATTCAAGGTCACTATACAGGGCTGATTAATACCGCAATCCTTACTAGGGTCACACTTCTCTATTGGAAGTCTATCAGTGAAATGTTATGTTGACAAAAGCGCTATGTAAATGACTTAGTTCCCACGTATGGGCGACAGCGGGTTTAACGATATCGTGTAGAGTCTTTGAGAGGTTTTCCTTATATAACATGACAGGTGGTGAGATATGAATACAAGCGCAGCCATTTCATGTCTCCACAGGTTAGTCGTTTTCCTTATCAGACAAATAAACTTGACGTGATGCACGTTGGGTCAAGATCGCGTTCATGGACAACCATTCTGATAATTAATTAAAGTAGTACTCGTATATATTGAACATGTATGCATGGGATAACAGAAACAAATACATATAACAGATATTCCAGAAATAGGAATTTATTCTCGGACAAATATAACTAGAGATAAAATTCAAATAGAAAAATGTATGAAATCGAGGTTAACAGTGAGTGAGTTTAGTTTTACGCTACTTTTAGCAGTATTCCAACAATATCACGGCGGGGGACACCAGAAATGGGCTTCACACATTGTGCCACTGTGGGGAGGTCAAACAGACTACATGGGTGCTTTAATATGTGAGTATATGAACGGATAAATGAATGTGTGTCTGATGATAAGGAAAGGGAGCAATGACCTACGAGTGAAGAACAAATATATGGAGGGTGTACGTTTTTCAGCAAAGTGGTGTTTATACCTGAATTAGTGTGGGTTTTCACCTCAAGTGTATCATAAATCTGAAATACTGTTAAAAATAGTATTACTCGCATTTTCCACCGGAGATGTCACTAAAGATAAATGAATGAATGAATGAATGAATGAATGAATGAATGAATGAATGAATGAATGAATGAATGAATGAATGAATGAATGAATGAATGAATGAATGAATAGACAAACAAACAAATACAGGGACAAGAACACATTTACAATACCGATCAGATGTTAAAGTGGTCAGCCGAGAAGTGTTCTGCCATCTCCTCTATAAGTATGTATTAACTTCGGTTCATCACAAGTATGTGCCATAGTGGCGCAGTCAACACAAAGGTGAGCGTAGTGTTTGATCTCGGAGGGTTACGTGATGAAAAATAACGGGTACCCTCCCACCCAGGGGTGGCAAGGTGACCCCCAGTCCTTTGTTCCTTGATTAGGGTATGGAATAACATTACAACGTGTTTGGCCTTGTTAACTCTAAATGCAGTAACATGACGTAACGGACGCAAGACAACCCGGCTGGTGTCGTATAATTTAATCGTTGTGAACCTGTCCTGCTTGTTTAACACTGAGGCGATCGGAGGACGTTTTTGTGCTCACGGAATGCCCTCTTGTAGTTCATTATATTGGAGTGATATTTGGCTATGGGAAAATAACTGACACTTCTTGTTAACACAATTAAACACCATGTGGATTTCAGCCTGGGATTATTACATCCACTTACGTATACGTCCAACAACCTCATGATGTTCACTACATTCACTTCCAAAACTCTCATGACGTACAAGTCCTGTGATCACATGACGCACACTTATAGCACTCTCATGGCGTTCAAGTCCTGTGATCACATGATGCACACTTCAAAACTCTCATGACGTACAACTCCTGTGATCACATGACGCACACTTATAACACTCTCATGACGCACACTTATAACACTCTCATGACGTACAAGTCCTGTGATCACATGACGCACACTTATAACACTCTCATGACGTACAAGTCCTGTGATCACATGACGCACACTTATAACACTCTCATGACGTACAAGTCCTGTGATCACATGACGCACACTTATAACACTCTCATGACGTACAAGTCCTGTGATCACATGACGCACACTTGTAACACTCTCATGACGTACAAGTCCTATGATCACATGACGCACACTTATAACACTTTCATGACGTACAAGTCCTGTGATCACATGACGCACACTTATAGCACTCTCATGACGTACAAGTCCTGTGATGATCACATGACGTACAAGTCCTGTGATCCCATAACGCTCTCATGACGTGCAAGTCCTGTGATCACATGGCGTACACTTATAACACTCTCATGACGTACAAGTCCTGTGATCACATGATAACACTTATAACACTCATGACATGACGTACAAGTCCTGTGATCACATGATGCACACTTATAACACTCTCATGACGTACAAGTCCTGTGATCCCATGATGCACACTTATAGCACTCTCATGACGTACAAGTCCTGTGATCACATGATGCACACTTATAGCACTCTCATGACGTACAAGTCCTGTGATCACATGACGCACACTTATAACACTCTCATGACGTACAAGTCCTGTGATCACATGGCGTGCACACTTATAACACTCTCATGACGTACAAGTCCTGTGATCACATGATGCACACTTATAGCACTCTCATGACGTACAAGTCCTGTGATCCCATAATGCACACTTATAACGCTCTCATGACGTACAAGTCCTGTGATCACATGACGCACACTTATAACACTCTCATGACGTACAACTCCTGTGATCACATGACGCACACTTATAACACTCTCATGACGTACAAGTCCTGTGATCACATGACGCACACTTATAACGATCTCATGACGTGCAAGTCCTGTGATCACATGGCGTACACTTATAACACTCTCATGGCGTACAAGTCCTGTGATCACATGACGCACACTTATAACACTCTCATGACGTACAAGTCAATTTTCATTTTGACCTACATGAAATATAAAGGATGTACTCATGCAAACTTGTCAAACTATGCCTATGTCCACATTGCACAAAACCAAAACTGTTTATACCTGAACAAGTATATTTTACGGTTATGTAAAGCTGATTTTAGAATGGTATATGAGTGAGTGAGTGAGTGAGTTTAGTTTTACGCTTCGCTCAGCAATATTCCAGCCATATGGTGGCGGTCTGTAAATAATCGATTCTGGACCAGACAATCCAGTGATCAACAGCATGAGCATCGATCTGCGCAATTGGGAACCGATGACATATGTCAACCAAGTCAGCGAGCTTGACCACCCGATCCCGTTAGTCGCCGCTTACGACAAGCATGGGTTACTTAAGGTCAATTCTAACCCGGACTTTCACGGGTAGAATGGTAAATGAACATGAATAATATGAACATGTGTAACTGCTGGTTTCAGTCACTATATCTATCATCAAACTATGCTGACCAGGGTGCCGTTGTACAAAGCGAGCATAGCCATATGCCTGGAGTCCGCCATATTGCCAAAGACCAAGCGCTACAGTAGTACAAATCGTGTCGTTTCTGTCGTTCTTTTAAATGGTACGACGGTGTTTTGCGTTGCCTGGGGTTGCACGGCATCATCGAACATGGGAAAGAACCACCATTTCTTCCGTTTTCCAAGTGAAATGACAGATTTCGGCAGGAGAAATGCGCTGATCATTCCGAGTCGGACGCATATGAAAGAGACATGCACGCATGGGGTATGGAAATCCCCAAGCTAGGCTGAAGAAGGAAAAAGTATCCACGAGATTCATTTATACTCCATCATTCCCTGTAACAACTTACTGTCATTGGTATTTTTAACATAAATTAAATCAAGTCCGGTTGCCAGTCGAATTGCCCCCGCTACAAAATTACCCAGCAAATTTGGTCAAATTGCCCCAGTGGGGTAGTCAAAATGCCCCAATTTATTTAAAATGA